CATTGAGGCCGGCTAGATCAGGCATGATCAAAGCCGTAACAAGTACAAGTAATTCGGATTGTCAAAATGGTTGTTGCACCATTAACAGAGTCGGACCGGCTAGGCAACCTGTCACACAGTAACAGCAAGCCACAGCCTCTGACGTTACCTCTTTTTAGACGTACGCTTGCGCTGGTAGAATAAGTCGGCGCGCAAAAGCCCCCTGAACGACGGAAGATACTAACCGCATCTTTGTTCACAATGTAATATAGGAGAGAGAACGCGACCAGCAATAAATGACAGTGGGTGGACGTACAGGGAGGGGGTAGGAGAAAAAAACACGGAACAGGTCTGAAGTTAAGTGAAGGCTAACGGTGGGGCTGGGGGGGCGGGGCAACGGGGGTATGGACAAGGCGAGGTGCGTAGACCGGTGAAGGCAGTGTTAGTGAATAACGCAGCCCGGGGGCTTCTTCAGTGTCCATGATCTGGCGAAGGTGAGGACGAAATGTCGTTCATGCGATCACCATCGGTGCCAATGAACTCAAGGTGCGGTTGTCGTCGCTCCAACTGCTCATGCTGCCGAGAGAAACCCCGTGGCATACTTCCGTTGCCCTGAGAGGCAGAGTCGTGTTCATTGTCCCCAGTACCCATCGTGTTACCATTTGGCTCACTGGTCATGGCAGAGGATAAATTCGCCGGGTTTGTACTTTGGTTGGCGCCACCATGCGCCGCCTGGCTACACCAGGGCGCGTCTGCAAAGCCATCATCACACTCCTCCTGGCCGACTGTCGGGCTGACAAAATCCCAAATGATGATTGAGTCGTCGTGGGAGGAGGAGACAATCTGAAAGTCGTCAAACTGCAGACGGAAAACTCGGCCGGTGTGTTCATGGAGGGTCAGCATGCACAACTGATTAGTGCGGGATCTGGAGTTAAGCGCGGCTTTGAGGTTCCACACTTTGATTTTCCTGAAAGTCAAAGAAGACGGTGATTAAGGTTGTAAACGTGGTCAAGGCTGCGCGATATCGCCGTCTACGTTACGCCTTGTGTGAGCCCCCAAAGGAAGAATACAACAAGAAGTGCACTGAAAGCAGAAGTCTTCGAGATAACCTAGTACGGCATAATTGAGGGCAAGCGAACACGTACAGTTCTGCGAGTGCTGCAAGCAAATTTCCTAAATTTGCAAATGTTTGATTATTACTCCCATACCAGCGGGAACGCGTTTACGAAAATTTATAAATAATAATGAGCAACATAAGGCATATTAAGTCTTAAAAGAACTATAAGAAGTACTAAGTGTTTCTTAAGAAAAATAAAATTTTCTCGGAAATGCCCAGGTTCTGGAGACGTAAAAAATGGGTACAAATTAGAATAATACATTTAAATAGTTTGTTAAGTATATAACTTAAAGCAACCACTTTCTTGATACAAAAAGAACTTGCCTTTAGTCGAAATATTTTGTATATTCGAGAATGATTACATTTGTATTTATTGAATATCTTTGAATAAATTCTCTCTTCATTTCGGAAATTTTTGCTGT